GCTTTCTTTACTCCAGCAAGGAAATGAGATAAGTAGCACTCAATTTCACCGCAGATCACAGCTCAAACCCCGCAAGGCATCAGATGAGAAGGCCAGCGGTTAGAAAGAGCAACTATGGCAGCCCGAGAATTTAACGCTGAATCCTCGGACCGTGAGAGTTCCTACGAGAAGCATGTTCGAGCCCTTCCGGGCATTGAACATGAACGTTGAAGTAGCACCACATCCTGGTCCAGCGACAACCCCATTATGATCCTAAGAGCGGCTGGCAATCCCATGTTTTTTCTCCAGGGTATCAAGTCAATCCTCTACCAACAGTTCTTACTCGGACAACGGGAGCAGAGATGTATACTGTTAACCACAGAATGACTGACTAGAAGGTTATGCTTTTCTGCTTAACTGACACATCTTCCACCACTTCACTTTCTATCCCAAGCTGCATAAGCCTTTGAAGACAATTATTCTGCACGTAATTACAATAGACAACCACCGCAACATCATTCTTGATTTCCAGGAGTTAATTTTTGATCTCAAGAGCTTCAAGAAAATGGCAGCAAAACGCCCCTCACCTAAGAGACAAATAATCAAGATTTCTCAAGGACTTGAACACTGCTAGAAATTGTACACAATCCTCAACTTTACTGTCTTCTCAAACCTGGTTCTGCCACACTTCCCGCTGAGGCGGTTCTGGTTCTGTCACAGGTCAGAACACATGGAATTTGTGTTGCAAAAGTGGCACTGGGACCATTCTTCTCTCAACAACTTAAATTTTCGCTGCCAATTCCCACAAACTGTTCCAAACTCATCTAATATCATCCTCCGAGGCTGGTAAATTAAGTTCTCTAGTGGCTGGAGTACCAAGCGGACCCAGGCCCACACCGCCATATCACCTAAGAACATAGTTATAATAGTGGAACATTATACAACCCAGACTCGTCTGAGGCAAAGATACAAATTATTATTATTATTTTTTGCTGCATCTGGATTCATTTCAAACAGACGTCAAAATGACTCTGATACCGGAGGGACTATCATCCTGAGAAGGGAAATGGCCCAAGGGTTGCGATTCGTTGCAACTTCGTGACGTAGCATTTCTGCAGTTACCAAGAGATTAATTGAACCACGAAGATGCTACGGCATTGGAAGCAACATTTCAGCCTTTAAATATCCCTCTGTCCCAAGCTTCAGCCCAAAATTTTAGGACACGAAAGATGGACGACACGCCAGAAAAAGCAACCTCCATTCCAGATGCCACTACAAACCAAATCAGTTACCATACTGCATCAACAGAGCCAGTGCTTAACAACAACATTTGTGGTGATACGATTATGCTCATAACTGCAGTGTACAAGATCATTAGAGGGATGCACTGAACAAGAAAGAAAGGCCATCGGTTTACAATCAGCAGGAAAGCTCTCTGAGGCCGCATAATGGGAAAAGAAGGGCCTAGCCTGGATGTAAATGTAACATATTTTGCACTTCAGTGCACCACAGACTCCTTTTCTCTTCAGAAAAGAAGCACCCAAGTGGAAAGAACCTGCACATGTATCGTTGTATTTCAGCATGTGGTCCAGTTCTCAGAACAGGCTCGATAACAAGAAGACATGTCTCGACTCTGGAAGCTGGTCCCAACACAGCCAGCGCCAAGTTCAAATGGAAGCACCGGGTTCCTCCCAAAGGGTCGTACCAGTTATACAAGATGTCACATCCAAGAATATTGCAATCCTCACAGTGAGCGCTGTGGAAACCTTAAATCTCGTACATCAAAACTTATTTAGTTAGTTCCAACACCCAATATATTTCCAATCGTACCCAAGAAAACAGGTTATAAAATATCAGTGTATGATAAAATTAACTTGAGGTGGAAGGCCACTTAGCCATGAAATCACCGTCTCACGCCAGGATACGTAAGGAGAATACATAACATACAACCAAAAGTTTTTCATTATATCACAGATCACCTGAATATATCGACCAGGTTGATCTCTCAACTTATATTAGCGTGCTTTACAAAGGAGGGGGGTTGATTCAGGTGGTGACGGTTGATACGTATTCGAGAGGTTCCAGGCTTCAATAACGCCTGTGCTACCGTCTACCTTTAAGTCAGTTTTCGTTGTTTCCCTCAGTGTATTAAATCGATTACTCCTTTTCACATCTTTTCCAAATCATAATTTATTAATTACCCTACCATATGTCGGGAGAGTTCAAACTAATGACAAAAACAGAACAAAAACAAAGGTCGTGGCCTGTAGTCCGCAAGCAAACTATACTGATTGAGCGACCGCTGCTTTTCGGCGAAGTTAGTGCCAACTTTTGCGGGTAGAGGGTGTCACGTTGTCAGCGCAACGGATCCCCACGGCCGTTAATCTCGGTTTTCTAGACCGGAATCGCCGTTTCCTTGAAATATCTCCTAAATTGTCCTCACGAGGCTGAGTGAACCCAGTTCTAGACCCACTACTTCTCAGAAAATCAGGTAGCGCCGGGAACTGAACCCCGAATCTCTGGATCTGTTGGCAGGAACTCTGACCACTAGGCGACAGAGGCGGTCTTCAAACTACTGAGAGCGTCGTTAAATAAACTATAAGAAATAAATTATATTTTTAAAATATTTAAGACTCCCCTTTTATTTATTGTAAATAAATAATTTTGAAAACTGAACTCTTCCTTCACTCTGAGTATATAAAGTTGCCTTTCAACAAAAATGATCGTAAACACAATGCTGCAACTCTGCCTCTCAACACACACACATGTACATAGGTCTCACAAGTTTATTCTAAACGTGACAACTGAGTCCGTGGAAAAGAGTATCATTCTTTCAAAGCTACCCAACATCAGGTTCGACGCCCACACCGCATTGGCTGTCAGAGAACACTTATTCAATAGATTCGAGGTATCCTCCACCTACTGAAGACACCTCCTCCAACCAAGGCTAGAGGATGAATCATTTTGTAGTGAGAAGAGAACCTACATATGTTTCATTCGCAAATAAGTTCTAGACAAATAAAGCATGAAAGTTCGTGCGTATTCTGTTAAGTGTATGCGGTCATCAGGATTATTTGGTAATTTTATATTACTACGTCCAAAATAAGTAAAAAAAAAAAAACAAATAAGAGTAAATGAGATCTCAGGTGCTTACAGACGTGCGCTTCCTGTAATATTCTTGGTTAAGATACCAAATAATTTTAGAGGTGGTTATGAACGTTTCGGACAACATACTCCCTGCTTCGCGTAATGGAAAAGGAGGCAGTATTCTGTTTCAGAAATTTCTTTAGAAATTGAACATGCGTCTGTACGTATATAAGGCGTCGTCAGCCACAACACCACAATATTAAAATGAATGTACATATGTTAAGTATGACGGTATATGAATGTATATATACTTTTCACATTACAGTTATACTCCCTCTGTACCTAACGTTTTTCAATTCATTTTTGAACCCCATAAAATATTGAAAAACTCAATATCAGTTGTCATCTTCCCATATGGCAGCCAGAAAATATTCAAAACATAACTGCATTCTGAACGAAACATTGCTATATTGTAAGATTTGAGGCTTTCACGGCGGTGACTATGAAGAAAGCAGTCTGCTTTTATCGGTTCTCACGGTCTCTTCGCTTGCGGATTTCTTATATTTTTTCTTCTACCCTGAAGATGGAGGCGATACGTTCCTCCGAAACGTCGGTTAACACCACATATACACGGTGTCAAATCCAGAAGACTGCTTTCTTTATTGCTATATTGAGAGGGTTTGTGTAATACCCGTAAACATCCGAGTAAGTGCAACTGTTTAAAAGTGATTATCACAAGAATACATACGTTTGTCGATGTATGGCTCAGGTATTATTTCACGGTCCGTAAACTGTCACGCTCCTGAGGTCAGTTTCGCCCACTCTTCATGTCACCGGCACACCACTGATCTCTCCGTAATTTTCTTCTCCTCGCATTGAAATAAACTGAAAACTGCTTACCATTCACTTAACTCAATAGGTGACGACTCTACCTCAACATTATTCTGTTCTGCACTAAACTCGCTGCTTCTCCTTCGTTGTACGCAACAGAACTGACTGACAACATGCCTGATCTACACTGCCACTTTTCGGGAAATTTCTAGCGATTCCTAGAAAACGTCGAAATTCGGCGCCAGCTGAGTAGTTTTTCGAAGGTATCAGAAATTGCGAGGGGAAGGGTTTGGATATTGGAGTAGAATTAGAGATGTGAGCAGACCAGGGACGCGATGCCCCCTCCCGACCCAGCTCACATGACAATATAGACCGATACACATAGAATTCTAACTAAATTTTCGCTAAACCCCATTCACAGTAGATTAGAAGAATAAACACTACCGATTATAAATGGCAAGGCGCGAAGTGCTCGCATGTTGTCGGTAAGATTTTTAAAACTGCAAAACATATTTCCATGGACCAGCGTTGTTCTTGAGGATTTAACAATTAACTTAGCTAGTGAAGGGTTTTCAAGCAATTTGTGGAGGCCGGAGGTTCAGGAGAGCCCAGTACTGATCCCTACCTGAGCAAAAGAATATGGGCCAAAGTCTCTATACCATTCCTTTACGACAGTCGTCTATATTCGTATAAAATCTCTGGTAATATCTACTATTGACTAATGTTTCTCATTAGAGGTATTTGATTTTAAGTTTTATTACCGAATACCAAAGATACTTTATACGTAATATCTGTGTTACCACACGAAACATTTCTAAATGGGCAACAGCTTCTAGTGGGGGAGAAATAGCGATCACATTTCTTCATCGAAATTAAATGATGATTAACGGAATAAAAGTACTAAATTTCTGCTAATATTTCTAAGTGAAACAGAAATATCAATGGCACTTACTGGCGATTATCAAACTACAATAAAATCAAGAAATCTATAATATGGAAGACAACTCAGTCTATATTCTACCGTGAAATTCAGTGCAACAGAGGAACACATAGGAACTTTGTTGGATTAACTTCTACCTGATTGAGATGGGTGGTGTACTCACTTCGGCAGGTGGTTCAGCGTGGACGATGCAGGCAAGCTGTGCTTCATTGCCCTCTCCAGAGTGGACCCAGCCTCTCTCCACTTCGATCTCAGGCGCATCTGCACAACAGAATGAATTAGCGTCACAAGTGTTAATGTGGGCAGACGTGCGTATACACAACCACACTGTTGTGGCTCAGCGCCTGGCCCGTCCCCAGTTCAGGGACCAGAGCTGTTGTCCCAGAGGCCTCGAGCAATCACTGACTTCTCAACTGACAGATTACACAAGAGGGAACTTTAAACTGTCCGTTATATTTTCTGTAGCAGACATTACATAGTAGATTGACTGATTTTTAGTCGATTTACTAGAGCTCTCTCAAATGAAGTCGTCATGCAGACTCCAGTTTCAGGATCATTCTAAATAACAAGTTGGAAACGATGTAGAAGTAAAAGGTGTAGGACCGTTTGCAGTTACTCTTACTGAATTCTTATTAAAGAAACTAAAGAGATTGAGACTTATTCAAACGCAACTATTATCATCTTTCACTAAAGCAAACAAATCAAAGTAGTTTCATTTACTTCGACAATACAGTGTCTTCCATGCCACATGTCTCTGTATTATCATGATCCTAATATGTAAATGGCCTTAATTTATTTTATTCAAGTTCTTTGTGCATTTCAGCGAGCAGTTACGGACAGGAGGAGTAAATGACAGCTGTAACGTTGAGTCACTGTTACACTGCCCACCTTTGTAAAAAAAAAAAATATATATATATCACATAGAAAAAAAAGGTACTGTTGTCCCTGTGCTTAACTAATTAAGCTTTACGCCATGAAGGCGTATGGGGGAGTGGATGTATAGATTCACATTTTCTTGACCTCGGCAGTGATTGGTCAGCTTCACGCCCCGACCGGTTTACTCCCGGGTAATGAGCCCCGGTAAGAGGCTGGGTGGGCCCAAGAGTCGGTCTGGATGATATGGAGAAGAGAAAATTCTGAACCTACCGGGACTCGGAACTCCGACCCCTGGGTCGTCCAACCCGTAGGCAGTCGCTATACTGACTACGCTACCCCGGCAAATACTCTAGTTTTATCTTATCTATGTGGCTCATACTCTCTATATTTGTTCATCTCTTGGCCTATTTGAAGGTGGGTTGTCAACGTCACGTATTACACGACACGGAAAGGGAGGTTATTTCGGTGAAAGTTGAGCTCGGAAAGTGGGGAAGATAAAGGACGCGGTCTGTTTCAAGGTTCTATTCTCAGAGTGTGAGCTCACAGGGACTGGGCGACACTCTATGTCCGGGCAAAGGGACTATGCAAAGCGGACTCAGATATACCTAGTCCTCATCACCAGCCTTTGCGACACACAAGAGCATGTAAAACAAGAAAGGAAACATAAATAAAATTGTATGAAGCACTGGTCATGACTACACAGGCGAAACTTTGGTTTCAAACGATCGAAACTCTGTTAGTGTAACCTGCTGCAATGATTTTTTTACGAAGCATCAAATTACGTTCCCATTTGGAATGGATGAAGAATGGAAGTATTACAGAACACCTACATATGTTTTCCTCAACAGACAACATAAATTAACACAGAGTTGAAAAGAACATTTGGGCAGAATGACACAAGAAAGACTAGTCTCACTGTCTTGTAATACTTCTTCGCAGTTAAACTGTCGATGTTGCGACATATTTCATATCCGCCATATGACGTAACTGTTACAATCTGCAATTGATAGGTACAACTACTTTTATCTTAACACCGTCCCTCTCATTATCCTCCTTCATTAATAGTTAATATTAAAATTAAATTAATATTAATATTAAAATATTGGATGGAATATAATATTGTAAAATATTTAGTACCTTGCTTGAGATTAGAAGTACGAACATCGCAAAGAAAAGCCAGACCTATTGCTGCTTGGACTTACTTTCTCTGTACATATGTATTTAAGTATTTACATGCATAGTCTATAAAAAGGTAAAGTTATCCCTGTAAGAGGCCGTAAAAGCCCATAAGGTTGTGAGACGTCGAGGCTCCCACATTTCTCTAGAAAATCGGCTCACATATGGCGGTAAGATTGTCAGCCCTACGCGCCGGCCTCTCGTCACCCCCAGTAAGATTCCTGGTACTCATTTCTGTTAGAGGCTGAGTAGAAACCAGGACCATAGTGCTACTGGAAAGATTAGGTTAATTGAAACTATCCACCTCTTTGGGAGTAGGACCCGCGACTTTCCCGCTTGTAGCATAGTGCTTCAACCAATTACGCTACAGCGTGTCCCCGTTCATAGTCCACACATATAATTTTACAATATCCACAATGAACAGTAAGGCATTTAATTATATTTTATAGTTTCGAAATATGAAAGAGGTTAAGAAGCATTTCCATAGCTATGCATATTGGAAGATATTCTGTGACTGCTTAAATATTCCGGATATTTCGTTGCGAGTTCAGACGTGGCCTCACGAATAAACAGAGATGTGTCCCCGGTACGTTGTAACATATCTACAGCAAAACCTTCGTTTTCACATCGTGAGGAGCAGAAGAAGAAATATTTACGAAACATTTCTTTAACCCTGGTGAAGGGCTGAGCCAAGAACCGTCTGAACCTACACTCTTACCCCTTCCGACCCTAAGATACTCACTTGAGAACCGAGGTTCACTTCCCCCCGGGGAAAGCCTAACGTCGAACCACCCTCAACCTTTTTATATCTCCCCCATCCATTCCATCTGTCAAAGGCTGTGTCCAAATGTTTGAAATACCTATAGACTCCTGCTAATGGGTCCCGGGGACGCCTTCCTTTGAAGTAACCAGCCGGAATCCGAATCACTACCTCACAAAAACGTAGTTTTTTAGTCTTTAATTTCTTGGGGTGGGCTTAGACTGACACGTCGGCCACTAACTGGCCTGTTGTACCAGCCCCTGATGATAGATTATGATGAATGTGCAGCAGTCGGTGGAATGAGAATTGGCAGGGGAAACAGAAGTACTTGGAGAAAACCTACCTCAGTACCACTTCGTCCACCACAAATCCCAACCCGCAGCATTGGGAAGCCGGCAACTAACCGCCCGAGCTATGGCACAGCCTTCACAAAAATGTTAAGTTCTTTTGCCTAGAAATCTTGGCGCTGAAATTGTTAAAAAAACACGACTCACCCATTCTATTTCTTTCCATGTACCGTCGAATATAATCATCCTGTAATATATTGTTACGATTTTGGAGCGACTAGAGACGGGGCTTGGATTCGTAATTGGATCTGTTGAACATTTATCCGCAGCAGTCTAACTCACCTTCACTCCACTCCTCTACACTGTGACTCCACTTTACTAACTCTCGCTAATTGTCTTCCTTTCGGCACGGACAGTAGAGAGAAAACTTCTTCTGTTGTTGTGCCTTTGTTGCATGCGCAGCCATCGGCGCACATCGCGCAGCGTTAGTACCATTCCTGTTGCTGATTATGGGCCATTACCTAGTAATTGACGTTGTCTAGCTGTTTGTTTCGTGGTCATTGCCTAGCAACGGATCTACATGCACAATATATTGCGAATAACTATGCTGGTAATGCCGAGGGAATATGAGAAAGAATTTTTCCCCTTGTTCTGACAATATACTATAAATCACACTGCAGTGGCACTTCTGATTGGCGAGGTAATTTCAAATACAAGGAATGTCTTAATTATAAATAATAATAATAACAATACATAAATAATTATAAATAACTGCTGGATAAGACCAATCATATTACCAACGTATTGCTCCTCAAAGTAATATGAAGCTCCTCATGGAAGCTGAGGAAAAAATAAAAGAGTCAGTCTGAATGGTGTAGGTTCTATCCTGAGAAGCTGATAATCGTTACCTGGTCAACCCTTTAAAGCCTAGTGGTCATTATATGTACCACCCACTTTAACATATTAAAACTCCGCATTCTGCTAACTGGGTGTATTTGTGTATTTCGTACTGTTCCCACAATAAACGGGGAATTCTTTCCCTAAGCATCTTGAACCAGTTAATTTTTGCAGCGGAGACGTAATTTCCTGCAAGAAAATAACTGAATATTTATATACTATCTAGAGGAAATTTAGTCTTTAACGGTCCGCGATTTTCACATGGATTTTAGCCTTCCGTAAGCATACGATTATAGAACAAAATTATGCAGGCAACAAGCGGAAGTCATACAAAATCATGAGAATGAACATGTTAGTGGTATAGGACAAGGCGAAGCCAGACATAGAAAATATAAGTGGCCTAAATTTGGCGGTGGTCAAGCTTACGACCGTTCAAGTGACTAAGCTGCCGTTGTAGCATAAGATAAGTACGGTAGGCATGATCTATTTTGCAAAGCCTGGACTGATTATATATAGTGCAAAAGTAAGAATCTTCAGCAACATGCTGTATGTTCAATATTTACACTTGAAAAATGCCAAGCTTATTCATAACAAACACAGCCATCCTCTCGTCAGAGAAGATGTTACATAAGGCCTATGACCGTAAGTGGTTAATTGTAAAAAAAATCTCTGGTCCTGAACCTCAAGAAGTTTGGCGCCAAGACTAAATGATTGGCGGTAAACCGCCAGTCGCAAAGTAATTCTGACACTGACTCCGTCTTTAATGGGTTAAGACAATATGCGATTTCCAGAAAGCAGGATGTTAATTACTCTGAGCATAAAAACCCACCATATACCCCACCCGGATCCAGATACCCACTTTACCCCTTCACATTTTCTTTCTCTGAGGTTGATCTACTCTCAGATCCTAAAGGGTTCTGACGATAGTGTATAATACTCAAAGTCCGAATACCCATAATTCTGAGTATATCTACTTATGTTAATACCATCTTTCCACTTATATTTAGGTCTCTATTTGTCATACCCACATAATGTTCTTTCACTAAAACTATGCAGAGGTTTACCATTTTCTCATGCCTGCTTTTAGTTTTGCTCATATCATCCTCTTTCACTTAATCACCTTTCTACTATTATAAGAAAAGCACCAATGGTGTAGCTCCTTGTTACGTTATTTCCTCCTATCCCTGTTGTTTCTGCAGCCTTATGTCCAAATATACAGCTACGCACTATCTTCTGAGAATTATTCCATTAATTTCCTTTTCACT